ATGGAAGGTGGAGGATGGATGCTTAAGTAGGATGGATCATGAAGTGGAACAACAGGAGTCGAAGGAGCTAATGTTGAAGTTTGTGAAGCTGATGAAAAAGGAAAATCATCTTCACAAAATTTAACATCACGGCTGATAAAGAATTTGTGAGATTGCATGTCATACAATTTGTAACCTTTATGACCACAAGGATATCCTACGAAAACACAAGGAATTGTCCGAGGTTCAAATTTTTGCTTAGGATGTACTATAGTTGCATAACATTTACAACCAAAAACTTTAAGATGATGAAATGTAGGTGATCGTTTGTAGAGTGCTTCAAAGGGTGTCTTGTTATATAACACTGGTGATGGCGTTCTATTTATAAGATAAACAGCCGTTAAAACGCACTCTCCCCAAAAATTAAGTGGAACCTGTGACTGAAAAAGAAGAGACCTAGCTACATTTAGGATATGGCGATGCTTACGTTCTACGACTCCATTTTGTTGTGGAGTATAGACACAAGTGCACTGAAATTCAATACCACAAGAAGTAAAGAATGGTTGCAAAGATAGGAACTCAGTCCCATTGTCTGATCGAACTATCTTGATAGTAGTATGAAATTGAGTTTGAACAAATTTAACAAAGTTCATTAACAAATGATGTACTTCTGACTTATGTTGCATTAGAAAAACCCAAGTACATCGAGTAAAATCATCAACAATAGTGAGAAAAAAATGCAAACCAGAATGGGTAGGAATTTTATGTGGTCCCCAAACATCACAATGTATCAGATCAAAGGCAGAATGGGTTGTTATTGAACTTCTTGGGAAAGACAACCTAGTTTGTTTTGCTAACGGGCAGATACTACATTATGAGAATAACTCGCATTATTAAGATGCAATTGATCAGCTAGAAATTTAAAACGAGAAAAGGAAGGATGACCTAGACGTAAATGCCACAAATCAGATGACTGAGATACTTGATGAGCTGAAGATTTGATTGGAGATGAAGAAATATGATAGAGACCTCCAAATTGTTAACCCGAGCCAATCATCTTCCCCGTAGCCAAGTCCTGCATAACACAAGAATCAGGATAGAAGGTGACATAACATTTCAAGTTATTGGTAAGTTTGCTGATCGACATTAGGTTTAAATTGAATGAAGGCACACATAAAACGTTGTTTAACTTAAGGTTAGGGCTAAGGGAAATATTGCCAGTATGTGACACACGTGCTGTCTCTCCATTAGGCAAATTTATTGTAGACATGATGGCAGCCTTTGGATCAGTCATAACAGAAGATTTTGATACTATATGATCCGTAGCTCCACTATCGAGAATCCATGAATTAGAACTCGCAGAGTTAACAGATAATGTAGATATGGGAAACAAACCTGCAACATTGATGTGATTGTTAGAATTACCAGAAGGGTTTTGATTGATTGCAGATAAGGCTTGTGCTATCTGTCGTAATTGCTTAGAAGAAAAATTTGAAATGGAATTATGTGACTATTCTTCTGTATTCAACTGTGAAACATCGGCCATATTTGCAGATAATCGGTATCCACGATGATTGTGTTGATTGACTTGTCTTGTCCTCGTAGAATTATTTTTTTGTCGACACCGATTTTCTGTATGTCCCCTTCTATCACAAAACTTACAATGAAACTTAAGAATTCGACACTCATTGATTGTATGACCACTTTTATTGCAGTGTTCACACAATTTGTCCTTGGCGAATTTTGAATATGTTGTTTTCTTCTGCACTGCTGATGCAATCGAGAAATTCTCAGTAGGTTCAGAAGTTACCTGTCGCTGCATCTCTTCTTGTACAAGTAATGAATAAGCTTGCCTCACATTAGGTAATGGAGACATCATCAATATGTTAGATCTCACCTTTTTATAAGACTCATTAAGCCCCATGAGCAATTGCATCAACTTGTCTTCTTCGCGTTGATCAATATGTATTTGACGTTGATTACACGTAAATGGTGTGCGGTACGCTTCCAGTTCATCCCAGAGTGCTTTGAGCTTGGTGAAATATGTTGACAGTGCCATGGTTCCTTGTGACATTGTTGCTATCGAGTTTTGTATTTGAAAAATTGCTGGAGCATTTTTTTGTGAGAATTGATCGCGAAGATCAACCCACACTTGATGAGCTGTCTTGACGTGAATAATGCTTTTAGCGATATTTGCTTCAATAGAATGAGTTAACCAAGATATTATCATACTGTTGCACTGATTCCAAAGTTCGAATTCGGTTGAATTTGCATCTTGGGGCGGTTCCTCAATTGTGCCATCAATGAAGCCAATTTTCTTCTTGGCAATAAGAGCATGCATAACTGATTTACTCCAGGATTGGTAATTTGCTCCATTTAATTTGATTGGAACAAGTGAATATCCTGGCTGATCAGAGCGATGCATATAGTAAGGATGTGTCAAATCAACATCCGAAATTTTAAAGCTGGATTTGGCTGATTCCGCCATAAAGAAAATTTTGATATTCAAGAACACCACGATCGATGCTCTGATACCATGTTAAGAAATAGAAATAGAAAATAGAATTGGAAAAGTGTATATACTTCATTTAGGTTTACCACGTTTAAATAGATACAAACTATTAACTAATACCTAAAAATAGACTAAATCTTGTAAATAAATAAAATACACGATTAATCAAATTTATACTAACAACTTCCTAAATATATCATATATATTCTAACTAATATATCTCCAAAATATTCTCTTAATAACTTGCATCCAAGGTTTCATGCATTCACTGTGATATAGTTTGAAACCAATATCCAAGGCTTCTGACATTTCAAGCAGTGTAGTGTAAGAACTGCATTTAAGGCTTCAAATGTTCTTAGCAGCATAGTTTGAAAACCTACGCTCAAGGCTTCACACATTCCAAGCGATATAGTCTGAAATCTATCCAAGACTTCTTACGTTCCAAGCGATGTAATCTGATAACCTAAGCTTAAGGTTTCATATGTTAGTTTGAATACCTATGCTCCAGGCTTCATATGATCTAAGCAATGTAGTCTAAAACTTGTCGTGAGCTCCACTCCTTGTGGTTTTCTTCAAACTTCTTCCTTAGGTCCAAAAATTGCATGGAATATATCTTACACAATTAATTTGCTTGGAGCCTTGAATTGAATTTCTAAGCTTTTCTCGAACTCCTTCAAAGGAAAATTAAATTCGCTTACAAGTTGGGTGCATTTTCCGCGTTTGGTTACTTCACCAAACTTGTGAGTAATATTATTTGGAAGGTGTAAAGAAAAGTTTGAAGGAAAATGATAGAAGGCTCTCAAATTTTGAAGAAATCAAAGAAAGGAAACCAAGAAACTAAACATGGATAGTTCGTGATTGAATGCTCTACTTTGCTCGACTTTTGTTTCAAATGAAAAGTACTTCAAACTTTATAAAAAAGTAAATGAACATTGAAATGAAAGCCTCGACATTGCTTTGATTTTATGCAAGCAACTATTGTAGCACATTAGATTATCTAATTTTTATGGTCTTTTCCTTAATTCTTTTAATCTTCCGGGGTAGTTTAGTTATTTGCCATTTTTGAACATTTTATTAATATTTTTCAAATAGTTTAATCATTTTATGGCCTTTTCCTAATTCTTTCAATCTTCAAGCTAGAGCTCAATAGGAGACACATATAAAGATATAGGAAGATTTTAAGGACGCTTATAGCGACCAGCGACTCCTCCATACCTATTAGACTTCCCTAAAATTAGTGAAATATAGGGAGACTCAAATTTATGTGCAGAAGGCGAATTGATGAGTTGGACCTTGGAGACTAGGAAATGAGACCATAAGTACTCCCTGAAATCAACACACTTTGAAGGGTGACTTACACCCTTGGAATAGGAATATGTAGTGTGTATATGGACCTTAAGCGTCTGAAAGGGCTAGAAATGAACCGAAACCATGGATTTTGTCGACTCTTGGACCCTGATGGAGCATGAGTTAAGAAACATAATTTTGATAAGAGCCTACAAGTAGGTGTTTACTAATTATTTTTATACTGATTCTTACTATTCTTTGTTTACAGACAGACAACTAGAGAACTTTTTAATGAGTCATTCAATTTTTATGTCATTTTTAATAATACTTTAATGTCATACTCTCGAAACTCTTATTATTTTGTAAATATTTTTGCTTTAAATATCATTACGTGATTTGAATTTTTAACACTTTTTATTTTTGTAAATATTAAACTATAATTTATTTATAAAAGTAAAGAAGAAAATTACGTTGGGCATAAGAATAATATGTATTAAAGAAGAAAATTAAGTTGGGCATAAGAATAATATGTATTAGAAATTGTAATAACATGATAAGACTATGTAAATCAGAATAGAAGAAATGAAATTTTCAAACATTAATTTGTTAATTTTACCCATCAAGCATGTATTCAATTTAGGAAAGTTATTTAGAACCCTAACTTAGTATGTATTCTCTTTAGAAAAGTCATTAATTTTTAAGCGACCAGGATACTACCCTAACTCAAAAAGAGCTCAAAGTTAGCCCTTGATTTTTAAACAATCAAGTTGTTATCTCACGATAAACTTTAGACTAACACTTGATTTTAAGTAATATGTTAAGACTAAGTCTCCAAGTTTTGGTTGATCGTGGTTTGTTCCATTGACCATGTTAGTTGTGGGATTTTCTATTGCTTTCTTGTCTAATACAACTTTTTCAATTATGCTATTTGAGGTGGAATGTATGTTCTATGTACTCAGGCATTTGAGGGTTTGCTTAATTTCTAGTTATTGACATGGATTGAAAAATTCATAAAATTAATTTATATTAAAAGTAATCATTATTGAAAGAGTAGAAACAAAATAATATATAACTTAAGTGCTACAATTTAAATAAGAATACAATTACTCTAGCTTCGATTCCAATGACCTTCACAGCAACGTCGTCATCCGTACAAGGGTACCTTACCTTTTCCTAAAAAATAAGAGTAGAACATGATTGGAGTGTTTTATGATATATTCACTGAGTAAACTCACTATTGAGATTAGGAAATGCAATTATATGTAATAATGATTGAGACCTATCCTTTAATTATCATCATGGTCTTGGTCTCACTTTCAAGTTCCGGCTGAAATTGGATGTGATATACTGCTCTACATACGACCCTTGCATGCGTGCATGGACTACCAAGCGAGTTCCTATACGTATCATTTGACCTAGCATTCAACTAGTGTACCCTCACGCCACAAAAAAAAAAAAAAAAAAAAAAAAAAAAAAAAAAAAAAAAAAAAAAAAAAAAAAAAAAAAAAAAAAAAAAAAAAAAAAAAAAAATGACATAAATCATGGCATATACGTATGTTGCAGGTCATACCTCTGTTCTTTCACAAGATAGATTTCATGAATAACATACTTTATTTAACAGTATTTCATAATCTTGACATAAACATGTTAACATGATGTGTGTAGCATAACAAACCAAGAGAATGAATTAATGCATTTAAGCGAGGACAACCGTCTTAAGCAAGTAATTTCTATACCCTAAGAATTAAAGTTAAGGATTTGAAAACAACCGTCTTAAGCAAGTAATTTCTATACCTAAGAATTAATTTAAGTTAAAGGCATTTGAAAAAGGATTGGAAAAGAAAAGGCAAACATAAAAACTAAAAATGAAATTTTTTTCCAATTTATAAGGAACTTTCCACATTTTTTATTCATTGTCTAGAATGAATTTTAATATGCTCAAGAAAGGAAAAATGACCATCAATATTCCACTCAAATTTGTGGGATTATGTGGGATTATGTGGCAAACATGCAAGTTTAGTTAATTCAAATCAACAATTAATTTAAATAATTAATTTCAAATCAAAATAATATTAAATGATTAATTAAACAATTTAATTAATATTTAACTTTAAATCAAATGTCAATCCCAATTCATAATTAAAATATTTAAGTCTTATTTAAATATTTCCAATTCCCTCTTTTTGTTTAATTCATAATTAAAACAAAATGCGGTTAAATATATCGTATATATTTAGCTTATATTTCCTAATTTGAATTCGAACAATTCGAACTCACTCGTCACACTGTTCTAATGTTTAGTCCGATATGAGCTAGCAGGGGGACCTAATGAACCTACAGATCATGGGCTCCAACGAAACAAGATTAACCAACTAAACTCATTAGCCTTGTTAACCAACATTCATTAATTGCTAGGACACTCCACTATAGCCTAGTAGTTCCACTCCCCTTACTATAGATATTTTTTTGTTCATTTGACATAACCATGATTAGTAAGTCGATCCTTCACAGGTTGTTCGTAACTAAAACTGGGTCAATTTACCGTTTTACCCTAAAGTTACTTCTTGTTCATTAAGTCCCACTGATCCTCTAATGAACAATTGGTTTGTGGTTCAACCCCCAAACCGAATCCCTCTCGGGCCAATGAGAGGGTGGGGCCCCTTGTTCAAGACTTGGAGTCAGTACTTAAGGGAACAACCTCTCAACTATCCTTAAAAGCACTGATCCTCTAATGAATAATTCCATCTTACACCCTATGTCCCCAACTATTCACCCAGTCTTACCCCCTGAAATGGGTGGCTTATTGAGTCGGCGAACTCGGGGCACTCTCACCCATGCAAATCTAAGGATAATTCTGAATAAATAAGAGTTCAAAGTTAGCTCTAGATTAAGATCGAGTTACCTAGGTCATCAAATGGAAAAATCAGTCTTAATAGTAAACGACATTATAAAGTGAGTGGTTTTTTTCATGACCTGATCTTACACAATACTTATTGCATAGGTCGTCCCTACTCATTGTATAGGACGCCCCCACTCACATTTCTCCACATGTACAATTTAGTGATCACATTGTTTATATCATATACAAAAGTGGTCTGCATCCATTATGTCCCCAAAATAAGTTACTCAGCCTTATCCCTTTACTATAGATCATTTTGACTATATACTTGAACTTGATCCTCTCTTATGTCTCTACATATAGTTCAAGTAATCGTACTATAGCCAGAGTGTTCTTAGTTTATTGGATGTAGATTAATTCACTTTATTCAATAGCAATCTTTACTAAATAAACATCAATAATAACTTTATTGAAAACATAATATGCTTTTGTTTACAAACTATGAGTTTTAGGCCATAAAATCCAACACAATCAACGTCAAATACATGTTGATCAACGCGAAGAAGACAAGTTGATGATGACTCCATTACCTAATGTGAGGCAAGCCTATTCATTACTTGTACATGAAGAGATGCAGCGTCAGGTAACTTTTGAACCTACTGAGAATTTCTCGATTGCATCAGCAGTACGGAAGAAATATTCAAAATTTGTCAAAGACAAATCATCTGAACACTACAATAAAAGTGGTCATACAATTGATGAGTGTCGAATCTTTAAGTCTCACTGTAAATTTTGTGATAGTAGGGGACATACAGAAGATCGATGTCGATACAAAAATAATTCTGGAAGGGCTATACAAGTTAATCAATGCAACAATCGTGGACATCGATCATTTGCAAATATGTCCGATGTTTCTCAGTTGAATACAAAAGAACAGTCACCTAATTCCATTCCAAATTTTTCTTCTAAGCAATTACAACAGTTAGCACAAGCCTTATCTACACTCAATCATCGTTTTTCTGGTAATTCTGACAATAACATCAATGTTGCATGTTTGTTTCCAGTATTTGCATTATCTATTAACTCTACAAATTCTAATCCATGGATTCTCGATAGTGTAGCTACGGATCATATTTCTAGTATTTCTAGTATTTTCTTTTGTTATGACGGAACCAAAGGCTGCCACCATATCTACAATAAATTTGCCTAATGAAGGGAAAGCACATGGGTCACATACTTGCAATGTTTCTGTTAATCCTCACCTTAAATTAAACAATGTTTTATGTGTGCCTTCATTCAATTTAAACCCAATGTCCATCCGCAAACATACCAATGACTTGAAATGTTATGTCACATTCTATCCTGATTCTTGTCTTATGCAGGACTTGGCTACGAGGAGGATGATTGGCTCGGGTAAACAATTCGGAGGTCTCTGTCATATTTCTCCATCTCCAATCAAATCTTCAGCTGACCAAGTATCTCAGTCATCTGATTTATGGAATTTACGGCTAGGTCATTCTTCTTTTTATCGTTTTAAATTTCTAGCTGAGCCATTGCATCTTAATAATGCTATTTTTTCTCATAACTATAGTATTTGCCAATTAGCAAAACAAACTAAGTTGTCTTCTCTCATAAGCTTAATAACAATTCATTCTGCCTTTGATTTGTTACATTGTGATGTTTGGGGACCACATAAAATAACAACTCATTTTGGTTTGCATTTTTTTCTCACTATTGTTGATGATTTTACTCGATATACTTGCATTTTTCGTATGCAACATAAATTATAAGTACATCATTTGTTAATAAACTTTGTTAAATTCGTTCAAACTCAATTTCATACTATTATCAAGATAGTTAAATTAGACAATGGAACTGAGTTCATATCTTTGTAACCATTTTTTACTTCTTGTGACATTGAATTTCAGCACCCTTGTGTCTATATTCCACAACAAAATGGAGTCGTAGAATGCAAGCATCGTCATATACTAAATGTAGCTAGGTCTCCTCTCTTTCAGTCACAAGCTTCACTTAATTTTTGGGGAGAGTGCATTTTAACTACTGTTTATCTTAATAATAGAACACCATCACCATGGTTAGCTAACAAGACACCCTTTGAAGCACTCTACAAACGACCATCTACATTTCACATCTTAAAGTTTTTTGGTTGCAAGTGGTATGGAAATGTAGTACAGCCTAAGCAAAAATTTGAACCTCGAGCAATTCCTTGTGTTTTTGTAGGATATCCTTGTGGTCACAAAAGTAACAAATTGTATGACATGCAAAATAAAAAAATAAAAATTATTAGTCGTGATGTTAAATTTTGTGAAGATGATTTTTCTTTTTCATCAGCTTCACAAACTTTGACATTAGCTCATTCAACTCCCTTTTTACCGCTTCATGATTCATCCTACTCAAACATCCATCTTATTCCTCCCCCACCTTCTATTCCTTCACCTACTACTTCGTCGTCTACTCTGTCTTCTATTCCCTCTCTAGATTCACCCACTAGTTCTAATCTTATCCCACCTGATACATCAGTTCCACTCCGACATTCTACTCTTACCAAACAGCTTTTAGCTTGTTATAATGATTATAAGATGTCTTATGGAGCCAATCATTTAACCTCTAGCTCAAGTCCAAACACTGGCACTTGGTATCCCCTTCATCATTACCTTTCATTCTCTCGTTTTTCTCCAACTTAATGTACTTTTCTAGCCCAGACAGAACCTAAAACCTATGATGAGGCAGTTGGTGACCCATTATGGCAGTAGACTATGAATGATGAAATTTCAGCTTTGGAACGTAATCATACATTGTATCTCGTTCCTCTACCACTTGGCCATAAAGCTATTGGCTGTCCTTGGGTGTAACGATTAAACACAACTCTGATGGTTCTGTTGAACGTTATAAAGCTCGACTGGTAGCAAAGGGATACAATCATGTTGAGGGTGTTTATTACAAAGTGACATTTTCTTCTACAACAAAACTTGTTGATGATAATCTGTTGCTAGACAATGATCTCAAAGAAATTCAATATCTCAAGACTAGTTTACTCGAGAAATTCCTTATCAAAGATTTAGGGAATTTGAAATATTTCCTAGGCATTGAATTTTCTAGGTCTAGAAAAGAAATTTTTGTCTCAAAGGAAGTATGTTCGAGACATTCTTCAAGACACAGGTCTTACAGAAGCACGTCCAAAAAAAATTTCCTATGAAGCAAAATCTGAAACTTTCTTTAACAGAAGGAGAGAAGTTGAATGACCCAAGTAAATACATCCAGTTGATTGGCAGATTAATATATTTATCCGTTACTAGGCCTGACATAGTGTATTCAGTTTGTATGCTTAGTCAATTTATGCATGAACTAAGAAAAGCGCATTGGGAGGTAGCTCTTCGAGTTCTGAGATACATCAAAGGTACTCTTGGTCAAGGACTTCTACTACCATCTAAAAACACCTTAAGATTACAAGCATATTGCGATTCATATTGGGTTGTCGAACTTCCAAACAATCTATTTTTGGGTTCTGCATTTTCCTTCGAAATTCAATTATTCCTTGGAAGTCTAAAAAACAAACCAATGTGTTCAGATCATCAAAAGAAGACGAGTATCGAGCTATGGAAAATACTTGTTTAGAGTTAACTTGGTTAAGATACATTCTTCAAGACTTGAAAGTTTCACTATCAGAACCAGCATTATTGTATTGTGATAATCAAGTAGCATTACACATAGTAGTCAATCTAGTTTTTCACGAATACTCGAAACACATAGAAGTAGATTGTCGTATAGTTCATGAAAAATTACAAGT